CCATATTCCTTGACCTCATCCTGCCATCTGGTCTGTGATTGAGTATCGCTCGAGCCTCCACAGCGACCATCGCCCTTGGTTTGATGACCATCGCAGTCAATGTCCATGTTGGCGAGCTTGCTACTAGGGCCCTTGAGATAGAATCCTTTGTCCTTCATACCCTTTCGGCAGTACCCGTAGTTTTTGGACCCGTCGTCCTCATCGTAGAACCCGCCCTGGAGGAGGTCGCTTCCAGAGCAGGTTCCTCCATTCTTTACGGCGTCGTAAAAGGCTTTCAGGCCCCTGGGGACATCCCGGGCGATCCCAGCTTGGGGACCAAAAGCAAGAAGAAGAGTGATTACTGCCGCGGTGGATTTTAAATGCATATTGAAGCTTTGGGCTGATAAGATTTAGAAACCGGAAAGGAAGTTTTGGAATTCTAACCTGATGACCATGGAAGAGAAGTGAATCGGATACTCTCTTATACCACGATAAATGCTGCCATGGGTGTTCTCGACTGGAACACGAACCCGGGCCGGGCGAACGACACGGTAATGGGGCTGGGTGTCAGCGTATCATCACCTTCACAGGTTTTTCTCGTATGAGGAACAATTAGGCCAATCAAACCATTTGGGGCCGATCATGACCTCGCTAAGGCCACGGCGAACACTTTCCTGGACCCCAAAAAATCCGACGAAAGCGCCACGGGCGTGAAAATAGGAAACCACAAAAGTATAAGACGAATGGACCTGTGGGCTTAGTCCAATGAGACCATTGTCTGGACAGGCACGTGGCGCAGGTCATTGTCCTTGCAGAAGCGGGGCGTTTGTTCGTTTAATTTCTGCAAGGAACTGCCTGACGATCGCATGGGGCCAAGATGAAATGGCTATCGGCTGGGCAAAATCATACGAGCTGTGTTTTGGAGATTTGGGGCACTTTGATATACTTAGCCTGATCAGGTTAGTAAGTACGAGCAAAGCACGATCCACTCTGCCCTATGTCGCATACGGACAACTTTGGGGTGGGCCAACCCGCCTTCCGGATGTCTTTATCCTAGCGATCTCCACTGATCGTCGCTGCCACATCGCGGATGAAACTAGCGCCATTTGCGTCGGCGGTTGTATTTGGTGACTGATTGCTGATCGAACGTCTCAATTCATTGAAGTTTCCAAATCTGACGCATTTTTAGGTCTCTGGAGCTTCTTGACTTATCTCGTTGAATGCGTACACCGATCTCGGAGGGCCGTCGGAAGGTTGGAGGCGGTTAGCTGAGAATACCTCGGCCACCGTCTATAGCAACTTGATCACCATGCTTCCGCGTCTCTGAGAGAATCCAAGGAGTCCGTCTATAGGCAATAGGCTACCATAGTGGCTCGAACATACATGGAATTTGAGTTTCGCAGGATCACGACGCTAGGCCCTTCGCAGATCTGAAGCCACATAACAAAAACACGGAGATGAAGCATTCCAGGGAAGTTCTAAGTTACAGCTCATCGGCAATGGCCCAGTGTAGGATGGCCCCAATCGCCTGTTTGAGGACTAGGATGACACCTGTGGGTCATGGTCATTGCCACTGCATGGCAAGAACGTGGGTCGAATCTTTGTGCAAGCTGCAAGGACTATTGGGGGAGAGCGTAGTTGGCTGTTTCGCCTTGAGAACGAGCGTGTAAAGACGGGGCGAGCGATGGTAGGGGAGTTACTAGAAGGAGATAGCTGGGTTTAACGTCCAGCCAGATACACAGCCAGATACATGACTCATGGTGGATCGGGTCCCTATTCCGCGGCTCTTGGCAGGGGTCATGACTTGCTGAGCTGCAGGGAGTGGGGCTTTTCGGGGCCCTGGATTGAGTAATCCCAACTAGTATACGGCTCAGGGTCACTCCAGAAAGCTTCGTTGAAAGCTTCAAAGCGTATCTTCTTCGATACGAAATTGTTGCTCTTGATCGTCACCTCTTGATGGATTGGGATGCCGGGTTGTACCGCGTTGTTTCAGGCGTTTTACTGACCGGACAGGCCCCCCTTGATACTATGGGATGCTGTAGGATGTGACTATCAATGTTCTCTGGAAGATCTACATGATGGCTGTCCAATTCAGCCCCCAATGCGCCACATTGGCGATGTGACATCGCCGATCGCTCCCATTCTCATGCTGCCCGGGCCGGTGTCAGTGCTCAGGCGACCGGTGCTCTCTGGCACCTGCCGGGCGTTCTCGAATGGATTCATCGAAGCCAACCGTGAAGGCGAAGGCATAGGGGGGCAGGTAGAGAAATTATGATAAATGGAAGCATCGCCACCTCGAAAATTCTACCCCAGAATCGACATTGCCTTGCTTATTGTATTTTATTACTATCCACCTAAAGGGTGTTCACTCGTCCCTTTGCCATCAATATGAGAGTCATCGAGCTCAGCCTTCTGGCCCACCTTGCCAGCTCCGTCAGCGGACTTGCGTTGGGCCAGCAGCAGAGTGAGAAGTTCGGTCTCAATACCGACTGGAAACGCAACAACCTTGTGCAGGCTCGGAAAAATGGGTCACCCACGTCCTCTTCTGTTGCGTTGGCTAATCCTACAGCGGATCCCAACGCCTGGAAGAATATGCAATGCTCTCAGATTCAAGGAGATACCAAGCAACAGTGGGAGGAAGCCAATGCCAAGGCCGCGTGGGACACTACCCTTGCGGCATGGCAGACTGGTCCAAATGGTGGCTTCCCTCAATACGTCAGCACTTATCTGCACGGGCCGAGTGGCATGCGATGTACTGATATCTCGAGTGAGAACCGCTGTTCCCAGCCGGTCGACTGTCAGGACTCTACCATTCCTGCTGGGTACGTTATGTTGATCGCTGCTGAGACTCCGCTAACATTTGTTAAGAGCGATGATTTTGAATGGGTTCGCTGGAATCCATCAGGTGCGTTTTGACTGAAGAAAGGACGTCGATTATAAATACTAACAGAGTATTAGCTGCATGCATCGGCCTACCAGGCAATCGAAACGGTTCAGATCGACGTCACGGACCAGTCTGGTACCTTCACTTCTACCTTTGCACCTCAGCCACCGGACAACTCGCTGCTTGAGAAGAACATTTTCGACGCTTGTAATCTGGTTTTCAGCTTCGGGATCTCAATGATTTTCAACGTCGGTATGTTTGGCAAGACTCACGTGACCATGCACTTCGAGAATCCTGGGTTAATATTTTCTAGCTCTTAAGAACATGGAGAGTCTCATTCTCAAAGGCATTGCTGGTGATATGACCTCGGCTGTCCAAAGCACTGTCGGCACCTACTGGAAGACCAACATGAAGGGGTATGATTCTTATCTTCGTTGAAATAAAACCAGTCCCCCTGACAGACATACAGTGCGGTGGAAGGACTCAAGGCGCAAAACACCATAGCTTCATACTTGGGCGAGACGATGAGCACATGGAAAGATCTGGAGGCACAATACCTGCAGTCGATATTTTCGGGAACTGAGGGCTCCAATGGTACCGATGCTCTCTATGCACTTATTGACAATGGCTCTATGACAAAAGTCGCGGGTAGTCTAGATCTCAGCGGCACCAGTGATCAAGTGAAGAAGATCGTTTACGGGCAGATGATCCCCTACGCATGGAGCGTCTCGCCTAGTGGATCGCGGCCGTTTATCTGGTGAGTCCCAATTTTTGATTCCCTCTTCGATGTCGGAGTGAAGTGTTTTAATCAAAGCTGCAATCATTCAGGCAAAGCGATGACGATTGCGATGGGTCGACTAAATCCATCCCCGAAAGCGCCAGTTACCTCATGACGGACGACACTGCGGTCAAGACTAATGTATGCTACCGTGGAAAGATTCATTACGTTCTGAATGCGCACAAGAATGCCGGTGACTCTTTCCGCACCATGCCCCTTCCTGGTGGCGATCATACGACCCTAGATGGATCCGCATGGGGTGGTATCATCCTCGAGGATATCGTTGAGAGCAGTGTGGAAGGGTGGATCGCAAACAACAATCATAACGGCTATCCACGCCCGGACACTGATAAGATTGTCACCAATTTCGGTAGCGTGGTCCCCAGCGTTCGCACAGCTGGTTTTTTCAACCTGCCAGTCTGTGGGAATGTGTTTGCTATCAACCAGTCTCTGCAAAATGGGGATGGGAACTCGCCCTACTGGCCCTGTGACGCTCCTGAGGGGTACACTAGTAGTGGCACCAATATTGTACGTTAACTCCAATCTCCGACGTTCTAAAGAGATTCGCTGATGTGAGAATAGCACGTTAGCAGTGGATGCATTGTGATCAATGACGCGAAGCGCTGCCAGACCTGGGGTGGACCGTACAGTAAGTCGTCTCGAGTACTTTGCAAAGAAAGCATCGCTGACAATACATAGACGTCGCCGACCAGAATCAAGGAAACAGCACGGCCACTATATACGCCCAATTTGATGGCGACAACACTCTTAACCAAAAGGTCACACCCGGTTGCAAGATTCAGCCTTCGTGGCCTCGCGGCTACGGTGATCTCGACTTCACCGACAACTGTCTGAGAGACCACAATGGCCAGAAAATTGAGTGCTGTAGCAGCGACACGACCACTACAGATGTTGTAGAGAATCCGTATGCCAAATAGACGTACGTACATTTGGCCCGGCCAGGTTTGGCTCAGAAATTTCTGAGGCTGGGACAAAGGCCAGAGCCTCATACCGCATAGGCTTAGTCAGTTCACACCGCTATATCTAGTTTCTTTGAGCTCCTATAGCTTTTAACTCTATACATATCCCACTGCGGCCGTCCTTCTTGCCAGCCTGAGATTATAAGGCCTGGTTAGCCTTTCATTGGTTTTATATTAGCTTTTTTACATATTAGGCAAGTCTAAGATTTGAAGCACGACAACTATTTTCAAATATATTTTTATGTTACTAAAAATCCTCCTATCTTAAATAGGCATAGCATGGTATAGTATATGTACTATTGACATTGAAATGGGTCTTTAGAGCGATGTATATGATCTCCATGAAGGGACTAGCTCCGGGATCAAGTGGGAAGGAACCATGGATCAGAATATCAGAATAGCGGCATCCAACCAGGAAGGTACGAATGTACCGGGCCTGGTAGGGTAAGTATAAAAGGAAGGGGTGCACACCCTTTGGCAAACTCCGCGACGAATTACGATTGCCAGTTCCCATCTCATCTCATCTTCATTGAAACTGGTCGAAACCTTTCTTATCTCCGACTTCTCCTTCGGCTAACTCTTCACTGATATCTGCGAGATTTCTAACGGGACAAACCGGCCAAATTCAATTTCCTCCTCTACGTGCCCCTCTCCTTGCTCCCTTCCTTCTGGTAAGTTAATTAAACCTACCCTTTGAGCGGACGCGCATGTAATCGGGGACGAGCGATTAAAGAGGTGCTGAATATCTTCTGGGCCGTCACAGCCTCTATCGCACCCAAGGGCGCTACCTTCCGATTCTTCGCGCCATGTCCTTTACCTCGAAACAGATCAATTCCGAGAAAAAGATTGCGATGCTAGATGTTACACCAACCGTACAGTGAGGTATAGGAAATGCGGAGGAGGTGCCTATCCACCACCGGGGCCGCCTGTTGATACATCACCTCGCTTACCTGCTTGCATACGCACAGAGGATCCCCTCAAAAGGAGGAGCTGAATCTTCTTAGGGGGGGCCAGCGATTAGTCTAAATATCATCATACCCATATCAGGCATGTCTCACATTCTTCACTCGTATCCTTATCGTATCAGGACGCCCTCCGGGGATTGTCCTAACATCCGATTAGCTAATATCTACTTGTAGCGGTACCCAATTCCACATTTCCACTTAGTTCACGGGCGCCAAATTCGGACCAATCATCTCTACGGAGGCTTTGTGGCACATGTGGATTATCCATGACCTCGATTGGTTCAGCCTTCCTCCGCTCTATTACTAGTATCCAATGATTGCATCAATATCTACAACCCATAGTCTCCTGGAAGCCAAGCCAAATATTAACCAATAATTTCAAAGACGGCTTGTTAGCATGTGGGCCATTGATGGCACTAATTGGCTTATATTGCCGAGTAGTAGTACCCACCCGCATCCGCTTCGTTCCCATGAGATGGATGTGGGTATTGCCGTCGCAAAGACGCGGCTGACCGCAGAGGTTTGTTCTTCAAAGACGTCATCGAACTAATGACTGGCTCGCTGTATAAGAAACTCTGTTGTGAGATGGGGCTGTGCGAATCAGCCCCGCGCCGTACCATGGCTTGTATCTACTTGATATTGTGTAGGTGTGATGGATTTTCTCCGATATGCGAGGTAGGCAACGAAGAGCCCTGCGGTCTGCCTGCCTTTGGTGAGTTGCTGTTGCGTGGACTAACGGGCCCATCGCCGGTGAGTGAAATGAAATGACATGACCTCGTCACCTCGTTCGTCGCAATAAAGGGCGGACTGACGGTGGTGAATGTTGATAATTGTCATCAATTCTTTTCTGTGGCATCCTCACGATTGTTTACACGATGCGAACAGCCAGAAAATGTTTTTCATGTTCCGGATCACCAGGCGCAAAATGCAATGCCTCTGAGGGCTGCTTTGAATCAGTGATAAAACGTTGAGCCAGTTATCATTGAAGAGTAGTTTGAGCTTGAGCCCTCACTATTCATAATGATGATCTCATTGACACAGACCGAATGCCTGGTTGAATTGCTATAAATACCCGGTCCCTCACCAGCAAAATAGTCGTTCGCAAGCATTCCTTTGTGATTCTGGGTGAAAGAATATCGGACGTGATTTGTCTCCGCAGCTACCTTTGGTATCGATTGACCTCCAAATCATGCAATGAATTGAAGTAATCTGTTGTATCTCAGTAGCCTAACCTTTCATGATAATCAAGTCTTCGAACAGTGAGTGTAGCTGCCCAATCATTTGAAATTATGCTAACATGGAAAATGCTCGATATCAGCCCCGCCTCCGCTATTCCTCTGAGAAGCCATTGAACGAACCTTCAGGATCAGGATCTGGAATGGTCCAAGCTGTGAGCACGGTGAGTTACAAGTTGCCTTTATAAGCTACCTGCTAATGATTGAAGATAATTAGGTGCCATCCTTTATACAGCCCCTTGCAGTGGACAGCAATAACTTACAACGTAAGTTCAAAGACTGCAGCAATTTTCAAGGCAGATATCATGTGCTGACGACCCTCCATAAAGGATGTTTGCCCTGCCCATTCCCAACGCCCGGTACTGCATATTCAATCTCAAAATGAACGCTAGCCGTTCGTGGCTCTCCGTTCTTCAAAAAATATCGCTGATGATTCTTTCTCGTCATAGGGCGCGCGTCAATATTACCCTCGACCTGACCCTCGTCTTCGAAACTAAACCAGCTGCGCCAGCCTGATGGGCCAGGCCACTGAATCTCATTACGCTTGCGTCTTTGTTGTTTCTGAAGACGTGATTGACACAGTCACTTCGCCTGGCGCATTGAGAAAGCCCAATCCAGGAACGCCTGGTGCCCTCTGATTAACCATATGGTAAGATTCCGAAGTGTTTTATTCGTCTCTTCAGCATTACCCTTTCCGGACAAATTTTGACAATCAATGTATTAGTAATTCGCAATATTCTGACGGCGATGAACCTCCTACCTCACGTCCGATCAGAAGGCTTGTCGGTGGCCATGAGCCGGCCTCACTGTTGACCGAGTGAGCCATCGGAGCATCCGCGACAACCAAGAGAGGCCGAGAATCGACGACCACAGGAAAGGACGACTATTTCTCCGAGGAGCATCAATCGGCAAATTGAAACAAGCTATTGGCAATAGTATAAAGGCCAGATATTTCAACCCCCGATTGCAGCTGAGCAAGCGATAAGACAGGCCGTGGCTTAGATCTACCACAGATCCCTCGCTGCGAGAGCAGTCATTTTCGGGTCGGGTCGAAGGTTGTCGCAAACAAAATACCATGATTCTCTCGTCCAGTGGTACTTAGCCTTGACACAGTTGAAGTTTGCCCAAGGCCGTGCATTGGCAGGTATGGATACATCCATTCCCCGAGGTACATTTTGATTCCAAGTCCTCCACATGTGGTCGAGCTGAGCCCGCTACCTCATCCCGGGTTTTTCTATGCTGATGCCAGGCTGCATCACGGCAAGTCTATCCCACCCTCGGTCACCATAAATCAGTTAACATAGAGAGTCAGTGAAAGACAGCCCTAATTCAGCCGCTCTGACGAGTCCGATCGAGAAAGTGCATTATAGCCAGCTGGGACCTCATCTGGGCCGCAAACAAGGTAAGTTGCGAGTGACCATCATATGCCAGCTGCTGATAATTGGTGCTAGATTGAATATATCCAGCGGCAAATTGCCTTGCCTGTGATCTGATGCAGACGGTCATTTAAAGCTGCTACCATGGCTTATTCATGATTGATCCTGGTAAGTACATTCTCATCTCTAGAATAATTTGGTGGGCAACTTACCAAAGTCAAGTAGCTCTAATGAAATTGGCGATTTTTCCCTGATGCAATGCTTAATGCAGCCGCACGTCGATCGAATGCCTCCTCGCTTTCACCACCGAGTCGCACGTACCCGCCGGCAGAAGTAGCCTCGTCAGTCCGGCCAGTCGATTGCCGAGACGATCACAATGGCCCAATTGTGATTTGAAAGATGCAGGTCGGTTTTTGATATATGGTGAAGAAGACGTACTCACTGACATCGAACGCAGCCGCTGATGTTACTCTCGGTGTGGGCGTGGCACGTGTGTTTTACGCGACGCGCAAGTGCACCCAACCTTATGCCCCCCGTAGCATGCGTCTGGTGCGGCGTCCTTGATGACCATCAACTTCACTAACGCCGGTTGCTGACTTTGGCGAGAATGTCAATCGATTCCGTCAAAGTGGCTTCGCCATTGAGAAGGGCAAAAGGTAAAAATGAACCCGCAGACTCGGGAAATGATTCGGAAAACAGAAAGCGGGCTACGAGTTCGGGCGAACCGCATGGGCGGGCTCTAATTCAAGTTCATCTGACTTACCCTGCGGAAATCGAACCCGCGCCGCTAATGTAAATAAATAAGAAATTCCACTAGACCACGCAGGAGAAGGGCCGCCCACAAGGATTTTGCTTCATGATAGCCACTATTTTCCAAATAAGCAAACCCGCCGTTCTTCCGAGCACTAAGATCAGCGTTTCGAGCTCCAGAAGTGTCTTTCATTTGATCGGGTCGACACAAAATGATATCTGAAATATGTTTAGAAGAATGAAGCTTGCTATCGCTGGTACCCGAATGGTTCTTTGCCGAGTTTACCGTTGATGATGGACATAATACTGTTGGTCTACGGCTGTATATATATCGGATTCTAAGCTGAGATACAGCGACTCTACCTCAGGTACAGAATACAGTATCGCCAAAGAGCACGCCACGAATCTTTAGCAGAGAGAATGTCATAAAGAAGACTGACCGGTGTATATGTGACCATATCGATTCTAATTTCTAGCAATCATCATTTCGCACTGTTTATCGACTTTTACACAAGGAACAAAAACCACACTATGACGGGACCGGTGTTTACCGTTAGCCGCCACTTCACCGCCCGGGAGTCACCCACACTGCACATCAACAGAGGGACCCACTGGTCCGGCCCCGTTATCACCAGCTCTCACTCTCAACCCTCACTCACCTTTGGCCCTCACCGTCCATCACCGTCCATCACCGTCAACATACTCTCACCATAAACCCGTCAACACCATCACACACCGACACACCAACCACTCACCATCGACACACCTCATCTCCCTATATCCGAACCAAACCTGGTGCCACTGCCAGCCAGCAGGGACAGGTGTTCACCAATGGATATCTTTGGATTTCAGCCGCCACCCCGACTGGCCACCCCGCTATCAGCCATGACTCGACGCTCTAATTCACACTAAGTGGTGGAGAATGTCCATTCTTGAAGCTCAGGGCATGATTGAGCGCTACAAAGTGCATTTTTCGAACCAGTCATGCACGGCGGCATCTACATACAATACTGAAGTCATTTTACACCATTTCTTATTGGATTCTTGATTCTATCGATTCTTTGGAGCAGGTCTTGGCTTCTTCGAGGACTCCCCCAAATACTAGTCTCTGACACCACGAAGAGGTGCCTGCAATCGTCAGAGGATCAGGACGAGGACTGCGGCGCCGCAGGTCGCCTAACAAGCACATATTTGATAACGCAGGGCTCAAGGCTGCATGGAAGCTCAAGATTATACAATCACAGGGCTCAAGGCTGTGAGGGAGAACTTGGTGTCGCAGATGTCCCTGCGGAGACTCTTGGTGTCGCAGATGTCCCTGCGGAGACTCTTGGTTTCGCAGTTGTCCCTGCGGGTCTCCCTTGGTAACGCAGCGTCCCCCTACGAAGAACACTTGATAACGCAGAGCTTATCCTGCGAGGCACACCCGAGTGGATCGGGAGTGTGAGGAGGAACGTCCTGGTCTTCATTTCGATGGGAAAAGAGCGTCTTTTATGCCATATCGAGTACGTTTTTCGGCAGCGACCACCTGCGTACATTTTGCCGGACCCAGAGATTT